TTAAAAAACATTATAAAAATTATAATGTTTAAAAATAACACCATCGATATTCATGGCACTAGTGAAAAATACATTTTTCCCGCCATTTCAAATCAGGCGCTAACAGAGCCATCTATGGGCAGACATTTAACAAAAAAGTATAGAAAATAGGCACAGCATTTTCCCCATTTTTTGTTCATTTTCCCCGGTGGCAATGGGTTAATGTCCTGACTCCTTTTTCTCTTTCATTATCTATCTCTGGTTCAGTCTAGTTCTTCCTTTCCACCTCATCTCATCTCTGTCACATTCTATCTTTCTCTTGCTGTCTCTGTTTTGTCAGTCTCTCTTTGCTACTGTCTGTCCTTGTTCCCTCTTATCTTGAAATTCTTAGTATTTTACTACTTTGTGTCTCATTTTGATTCATCCCAACAGGTTCCACACACACTCTATGAAGAAGCCCCTTGCATATTACCTGGAGCCCCCACCCCTCCCTCAGGAGGCGCTTGAACCAGTACCTGATAAGCAGGTAAGTTCTTCCAAGTGCCTCTTGAATTTGGAATGTCTTTTGGGTTGAGAGAAAAGGTTGAGATATTCCTTATTGATAATAAAAACATAAACTGTAAAGTATTATTATTGTTCACAAGTGTTGATTGATTGATTGATTGATTGACGTTTTTGTCTCATTTTCCATTTACCTTCACATATGTTCCTTCCTCGGTGTCCCTTCATTTTTACTTATTTTCCCTATTCTCTCCACCTTATGACACCCTCTTAACTGTTCCATAAATTACCCTCTTACCCCTAATGGCCTCTCCTTCTTCCAACAGCAGGTGAAAGAAGAGGTAAAGGCACCCGACACGCCGACCTCCTCCGACCAGTCTCCCCGTGGTGTGGCCAAGCGAGGCGGCAAGACCCAGCGGAACAGACGACGCCAACCCAGACAGGTTGCCAGTGTCACCAACATGGCTAGTGTAATTATTGACCCTATTAACAGTACTTCTACTTTGATGAGTTTCTTCTTTTGTCATTATTTTGTTCCGAATTTGGATTTTGTTTCTTTGGTTTATATGAAGATTGTTATTTAGGGTGGGTGAAAAAGATAGGCATATATATGTATTTATATATATATATTTATATACTATATTACATTTATATATATTTAATGTTCATTATGCTTTACCATTTCCTTTCTATCCGTTTCTGTCCAGTACTGTTAAAGTGCTATACTTTCATGAGGGTGTTTTGGCTTATTAACCAAACTAACAATACCTCCACTGACACCTGCAAGAGGACATTTTTCTCTTGTAGTTTTCCCTATATTTTTAATCTGTTTTCCATTAAATGTCAAATTTGGCTTATCCTGTGTATGAGATTATCAGTTATATAAGATATATCAGGATATGTTGCCTCAAGCCTGCATCCATATCTTCAAAAGGTGTAGTTACTGCTGACAGAATTGGATAAAAGGAGAAAAATTATAAATAGAAGTTGCCCTCTAAACTCAGTGAACTACTTTCTTAAAATGTATATATTTTTTTATCTTCCATGGCAGGGAACACAATAAATCCTAGGATTATTATTATCTTATTTAGAAGGCAATGGACTATAGTCTGGCATTGCATTGTCTGTCAGAGAAGGCAGTGCACTAAAATCTGCTTAATTTTACATGAAAAGTAGTACAATAGCACTTAGAATCTTTGTTTCCTACACAGTCAACTATGCAGGCAATGCCCTACCAGAGCCCAGGGTTTAGTGGACCAGCACCCAACCAGTGGGGGTCAGGCTTTGGCCAGCAACAGCCTCCTCAGCAGCAGCAGCCATTCTACTCTCAGCAACCTTTGCCTCCAGGTAAGTGCATCATAGTGTGAATTTTATATATCTATAGGTATCTTTAAATATATTTTTCTCTTTATTCAATTGAAGAGAAGCTATTCAAAAGTTTGCTTAGCAAGGGAAGAAAAGGTGTTTTAGCAGCACTAGACTTTTTTTTTTCACAAGGTCTCCCAAAGTCACATTATTCTCCACACAATTTTGCTCATCATGGTAATAAAGCTGTGTGATCAGCTGTCTGCTAAAGTCATAATATGTTATGTGATTGTATGTAAGAAAGTACAGGCTTGCTGTAGAGCAATAGAGTCATTTGATGTTATGTTGTGGAATGCTTTTTTATACACATTGATACAGAATACATTTATATTTCTCCATCTTCATTAACCCATTCGCCCCAGATTTATGTTCTGTCCCCTGTAGTTTTTGGTGATTTTGTTACATAAAGATGGCTCCACATGTGCTCAGCCAGCAAGGAGTCTATCTGTTACTGATAGTTACCGATCTTGATTTCACCATTCCTTGAATTGTTTTTAATTGTTATTAAATTGTTATTAAAATATTTTAGACAATGAAATGATACAAAAGACCTTTTCCTAAAGTGAAGGAAAAGGGTAAACAGCTGAGATAGGTAGTTCTAATAACTGGCAATTTGGTGATTAAGAACTTGTACAGCCATCCGTGCATAAATACAATGAATAAACTTGTATTACAGTGGGCATGGCATGTATTCTTTCCAAATGGGGCGATTGGGTTAACTGTTAATGAAATTTGTTTATTTAAATTTATTATTTGCTCTTTCATAAGTAATATTGTCATATCCACTGAAAAGAGATAGATATTGTCATATCCACTGAAGAGTGTTAAGGTCTGGTTGCAGAATTGTCACAAGTTATGCTAAATGATAGTTTTATTGTTTTCAAAGAATTATCAAGGATCATCAATAATTCAAGTTCTCTGTCTCTAAAAAAATTCCAGATAGTTTTATTGCTGGTCCATTTATAGAACAATTTTGCTTTAGTGTTTTACCTGATTAACCCAGTGCCTCTAGGCCAGTTAAAATGTTAAACAGGCCAAATTCTGGGACTTGTGTAAATACAGCAATGCAGTTCACTTGTGGGCGACTGGTGTGTATGTTTCTGTGTCATACTCTGTAGTGATAATGTTCTGCCTTGTAGATTTTATACAAACTTCCTCTATAATAACATAGTAGATCCTGCTGATGTGAATGTCACATCATGAAAAAAAATAGCTGAGGGCTTGGTGATGGGAATATGCTGCCTTGGAAAAATTTGACTGAAGGCTGATGGGAATATCCTATAATGAAAAATTTGGTTGAAAGCTGGATTGATGGGTTTGGAATGAACCATCCATGAGCCATGGCTGGAAGAGCACCAGCTCCAAGCTCAGGATCCTGTTCCTTCCCCCCATGGCTGGTGGTGTGGGATGTGATACAGAATTGAATTGAATAACATGAAAGTAAAAAATAATACAAATAACAGAATGTTTCTTATTATTATTATTTACCCCTCTGATCCGGATACTGTGATCATCACATCATGAAAAAATCTGGCTCGAGGGGCGGGTGACGTGAACATGCCATCATGGGAAAACCTGGTTGCAGGGTGGATGGTGCAAACCTGCAGTTGCGAAGGCTGAAGGCTGGGGTGCTGGGAAAGACTGGCTGCAAGTGCACAAACCTTTTAGGAAGTTGATGACTCATTTGGCGATTTTGCATTATTCCCTTCGATACATGAGTGTGGAATGTAATGTCTATGAGCCATTTGATCTGCATTATCCAGATGGTTATAGACTTTTTTCTTTGCACAGACTCTATAGCATCTCTCTAGTTAGTCTACAACTCGGTGCAAGAAAAACTGTGTAACACTTCGTTATTGGTATTATTTTAAAAATTTGTACGTAATATTCAATTTTCTGTAATACAAAAATGGAGTCTTCCATGGAGCTGGTGATCTTCCAGTCACTTCTCACAGACATTACATTCCACACTCGCACGTTGATGGGAATATGACAAAATCACCAAATGAGTAAAATAAACCTCCCAATGGATTTGTGACTCATGGTGAGTCTTTTCCATCACCTTGGCCTTCAGCTGAAACACTCATGACATGAGGTTTACGTCACCTGGCCTACAGCCAGATTTTCCCATGACGACATGTTAGTGTCACCCGCCCCTTCATCCAGACTTTTTCATGACGTGATGGTCATGTCACCTGGATCCAAGGGGTTAAGGTAAAATATATCTATGTGTGGGTGTGTCTGTTTGTTTGTGCCTGTCTGCCTTTTTATCTTTCTGTGAGATTATTGCTAATGATGATGAATTTATGAAGTGCCTAGTTGTCACCTTTCATTTTCAGGAAACCTTTATGATTCTGTGAAATTGGAAGAAGAAAATTTGCATACATGAAAGTGTGGGTGGTGACTGTACAAGAAAATACAATTTGTAAAATGTTTTGCTTTGTGGTTAAGCCAATAAATTTCAAATAACAAGACATCTGTTGTCATAATGACAATACTTTAAACTGTAAATACTGTTAATTTATTGTGACTGTTTTTTCTTTTTCTTTCTTTCTTTTAGGGATGAGGTAGTGTTTTGCATGATTATTGTCAGTCTGAGCCTTGTGTATGTACCCAACTTTATTTTTTATTTATTTTTTTTTTATTATGTCACTGTCGACCCCACACTCTCCATCTCATATAAAACACCAGTTAAAAAGTAGAAAGATAACAGTGCTACAGACTTAGTTGATGTTAGTTGATGTGGCCAGATAGTGTGTTAGCTTCGGCCGGGCACCACCTGTGTTTGTCTCTTGTCCTTTTCTCTCTCTCCTCTCATTCCCACAGAAAATTGGACAAATACAAGCAATCACACACTTAGAAATAATGTGGCCAGTAAAGATGATGGCAAAGCAGCTGTGAAGAAAGGGTCAGACTATGACCTTAGCATTAGTAAATCGTGTAGCCATGACTCATCAGAAGGTACCTTGCAAACGGAAATGGTCTTCCCCCCTGCCCCACTTTTTTCAGTTTGAAATATTTGCTTTTTTGTGTTTGCTGCTTAGTGTATAAAACTATATATATATTAAAAAAAAAAATGTATTGATTTCTTTCTTTTGTTTTTGATTTTGTTTTGGTTTTTAGTAGGTGTGAGAATGTTACTAACTACTTACTTA